GGCTGCGTGGAGTCGGTCTTCCCCTTCTGGTGGGTTCTGTGGGTTAGCCTTCCACGCCCCCACCCCAGGAAGCAGGCGTGGAGGGGCTTCCTTCCGCTTCTTCCTGGTCTCCTTTCGAGGCGCGATTTATCCCCACCACGCGGCCATCCACCTCCGCTAAAAAACTATTTATTTATTAATATTTATTTATTTAGGTTTTTCGAGACAGGGCTTCTCTGTGTAGCTTTGCGCCTTTCCTGGAACTCGCTCTGTAGCCCAGGCTGGCCTCGAACTCACAGAGATCCTCCTGCCTCTGCCTCCCAAGTGCTGCGATTAAAGGTGTGCGCCACCACCGCCAGACTAAAAACCAGTTTAAAATAGTTCTAGGAAACAGTTTCTTGAAAAAAGTGCCAGGATTTTCAAAGTAAACTTTTAATTTTTACGAAGAACATGGCAGTGGCCAGGCGGTGGTGGTGGCGCACACCTTTAATCCCAGCACTCGGGAGGCAGAGGCAGGCGGATCTCTGTGAGTTCTAGGACAGGCAGGGCTACACAGAGAAACCCTGTCTCGAAGAACCAAAAGAAAACTAACAACAACAATAACAACAAAAACCAAGCAAAACAAAATACGGCAGTATTTTCCAGAGAATCCCTAAACAGATTCCAAATTTGTTTTACAGCTACTCAGAACAGTTAAGTTGAATTTTAACACTCCCTTTGACTTATAGTAAAGGATCCCGGATTTGAAGATGTTTCTGTGATACTATTTGGAAAAAAAAACTTAAGCTAGACAAAAATGGAAAGTTTTAAATTTTTATAAATAAGCCCCATTATTTTCTGTGATGAGTTAATTTCTCTTTTCATAGTTGGGAGCATTTGAAACTTTGATGTAGGTGTTCTTGAAAAATTAAAAAGCTCTCAAAAATGTGCTTCAAAATATGACATGTACCCTATGTTTTAAAGGCAATTTTGTGAAAAAAAATTCCCTGTGTATTATAATGTATAGAAGGTTTATCTTAAGTTGAAGGACAAACTAATCTTGCTCCCACTGCCCCCTCAAACCCAGCAGCTTTGGAGGGTGGAGGCTGTTGATATATACCTTCTGTGCCTTTTTGAGAAAGAAATAAAATCAGTTGGAATTGAATAGTGAAATACACTTTTACTACTTTTACGTGAATTTACATAAATTCACGAGTGGAAAGTGTGATTTCTGGTGTGTTGAGCATAAAATTGTAAAGTAGTAGACTTCTTTTGAAATATTTTTCAGTTAAAATATTATGTAATGAAATGATTTTTGAAGTAAAAATTTTGATATATTTTAGTTTTTAATTTCAGAGTATTAAAAACAAAACTAAAGATAGCCAGTCTCAGACATTTGTAGCATTTCTCTTAGTTTTATTGTGGAATACTTTCTCTTTTTTGAGAGGGTATTCTTTTTTTAAGAACATGAGGGCTAGAGAGCTCAGCAGTTAAGAGCACTGATTGCTTTTCTAGAGGACCGGGGTTCACTTCTCCTCCTCCATGCTGAGTTTTGGGATGGTGTGGTTTTGTTAGAAATTGGACCTTAGTTCTCTAGAAGCACTAACTTGGCAGTTTATAACTGGCTGTAACGCCAATCCCAGGGGATCTGAAGCCCACTTATGGCCTCAGCATGCACTGCATGCATGTACTCCACAGACATACATGCAATCAAAACAGCCATACACTCGCTCCCTCGCATGCACAAGAATATGCATGTAGTTCCAAAGTGTTGATTTATAAAGGTGGTCAAAATGTGTGTGAGTTATCTTACATGTAAATCTGTAAAAGTTTGGCTAAAGATAATGATAGGTATAGAGATGATACATTTTGACATTGAAAACTACAATCTCTTCAGAACAGATAGAAGAAGCAATCATGAGAAAATACATGGAAGGCAATTTTTAGTATAGAGTTTGAGTTTTGATAACCCCATTAGGACAAACACTTTTAAGAATTTGAACATAATGTGGTTTAGATTTTTTTCATTGTTAATAGATATAAAACCTAATTCAAGGTGTTGAATTGTTAGTTTTTCAGAACTTGTCCAAATGGATGAAGATACACATTGCAATAAAGGTACTGGTGTTAAATATTATTGGGGGGGGGCGGGGTAAGAGCTTAATGATACTGATTAAACCCTAATTTCTTTTTGCATCGTGATTTTATTTTAGTTGAAGATGTTGTTGGAAGTCATGTAGAAGATGCCGTAACGTTTTGGGCCCAGGTAAATGGAAGCTTGGTTGGTTTCTCTTTTCTACCTTCTGGTTTCCTAGCCTGAGCCTTTCCCAACAAAAACCAAATAAAAATCTAAGAATATAGTTTTGTTGTCATTCTCAGTACCTAATCTTGATGAAATCATGTAGCACAGACATAATTAAAAGACAGATGACTACAACTTGAAGTTTTCCTAAGTTGAATAATATACTTGCAATACAGCTGAATGCAACATAAAAAGTATCAAGATTAGGACTTCAAAATTATGTTCAATAGGATCAGGAAGCCAAACACTGTTGTATTTGTGAAGTTATAGCCCCATCTAGAGGTCTTTTGTAAGACTGTTTCCTGAAAACAAGCATTTTTTCCTTATTACTAAATACCTACAGAATTTCATGTTCTTTCTCTTTCTTAAAAATAAAACAAAAGCCCCTTGTATTCAATTTGTATTGGTTGAGTACTCCTGAGCATGAGGCTTGCTTAGGAATGTAATTGATGTATCCAGTATCACTCCATTAAAACTGCTGATTTCCTCTTTCCCAGAAGCTATCAATTTTGAGTAGCTTCTTTGCCAGGGGTGGGACTTTCACGTTGACACCCCTCTTCCAAGTTGGGATTTGGGACTGCATTGTTTTGTTAGAAGTTACATTGTGGGGAAGCTCAGATGATATGTCAAACATTCTGAATACTCGTGCCATTTCAAAAAAATTTCTTGAAAGCTTCTTGCATATCATATGGCAGTAGATAATAAAGATAGGGAGAGGATAAGCTCCATACTCTATAGACACTGGGAGATGAAAAAGAAAACTCTGTTCAATGGCTTACATTTTAATGTAAGATAAGTGTTTATGTAATTATGAAATTTGAGATTAATGAAATATTTCTGATTTCAATGATAGATTGAAAATCAGGTAAGTATATTCAGTTTTAAATACAAAGTTAAACAGGGCGTGGTAGTATACCCCTTTTATCCCAGCACTTGAGAGGCAGAGGCAGGCAGATCTCAGTCCATGGACAGCCAGGCCTATGCCCAGAGACCTTTTCTCAGCAAAACAAAATTAAGCACCAAAGTTCTTGGGTTTCAGATTTTAAGAGGTGACTCTCTAATGTACCATTACTAATGATTTTTTGATTTTGCAAACTATACATGATAAAGGAGGGAAGAAAATTGCATTTACATATACTTCCCATGACTTGGGAACTCTTTCTTGATGAAGTTAAGTATACAGTGTGTAAATAGAAGTTATAAGGAGCTACAGAAGAATGTGATTTAAAGTTCTTAAAAACAAGGCTGGAGGGATGGCTCAGAGGTTAAGAGCACTGGCTGTTCTTCCAGAGGTCCTGAGTTCAATTCCCAGCACCTACATGGCAGCTCACAACTGTCTATAATGAGATCTGGTGCCTTCTGGCATGCAGGCATACATGCAGCCTGAACATTGTATACATAATAAATAAATAAACAAATAAATCTTTAACAAAAAGTTCTTAAAAATCATAGAAAAGTTTGAATTTGTGGTAAATTGTATACTTAAGCACAACCTTTTTATTTTTTAATGTCATGTGTATTTGTGTTTTGCCTGTATTTGTGTCTGTCCACAATTTGTGTACCTGGTGTCCATCGTGGTCAGAAGAGGGCATTGGATCCCTGGAACTAGAGTTACAGACAATTGTGAGTTGCCCTGTAGGTACTAGGAATTGAACCTGGTTCTTTTGGAAGCGCTTAACAGCTGAGCCATCTTTCCAATTAATTGTACATAATTTTTAAATGGTGTTCATATGTTGTGGGTTTGTGTTGAGTATTAATAGTACATGTGCCACTTGGTGCCTGACACTGAATGACAAATTATATATGTACTAAATTAAATAATACTTCCTAGGTCAGTGCTGTTACCTCCTAGGTCAGTGCTGTTACTGTAGAAATGCAATGTGAACCCTATGAGTAATTATTTCTAGTTTCAGCAGCCACATTGGCGCAAGTAAAAGGAATAGGTAAAAATTAATTTTAATACATGTTTTTATTTAACATAATATATCCAAAATATTGTTTCAAAATCTAATCAGCAAGGTAGGCATAGTAATCTCAGCTACTTGCAGGGCTGAACCAAGAGGACCTTGAGTTTGCAGCTGGCTTGAAAAATTTAGTTAGCTCCTGTTCAATAAAATAAGGGCTGGGTTTGTGGTTTAGTTGTATAGTACTTGCCTAGTATATGTGAGGGAGGACCATGGTTTCCATTTCCAATGCCAGAAGAAAGTACACTCACAATTGGTATAAAATATGAGCAAGATACTTTGTATTCCTCTTTTTATATTACATCTTTTATGTTTTTTTTTTTTTGAGACAGGGTTTCTTTGTGTAGCTCTAGCTGTCCTGGAACTAGCTCTCTATAGACCAGGCTGGCCTTGAACTCAGAGATTGCCTCTGCCTCCCGAGTGCTAGGATTAGTAAAGTTGTGTACCCCTCAGTCTTATTACATCTTTGGAATCCCAGTGTGTAGGTTTATACTAGGCACTGAGTCAGACTTGTCACATTTCAAGTGAGTATTGCTATTTATCTGTTAATGTACTTCTAGACTTTGATTTCCATTGATCTTAGTCATTAGTTGGTTAAATTTGGAGTTATGGGGCTAGAGATATGGCTTAGGGGTTAAGAGCGCTTGTTCTTCTTCCAGAGGACCTGTAGTCTATATCTAGCACCTGTGTGACTGCTTACACCCTCTATAATTCCAGTTCCAGGGTATTCGATGTCTCCTTTTGGCCTCCTTGGCACCAAGCACATATGGTGCACAGAGATACGTACAGGCAAAACCCTCATAGCCGTAAAACAAAAATAATTTTGGATTGGAGAGATGGCTTAGTGGTTAAAATTATTACTCTTGTTGCTCTCCAGAGGATGCTAGTTCAAATCCCATGTCAGGCAGCTCACAGTTGCCTCTAACTCTAGCTTCAGGGGATCTAATAGCCTCTTCTGGCTCCTGCTAACACTAACAGACAGAGACACATATACATGAATAAAATAAATTAAAAAAAATTAAAAATGAGCTATTATCTAAATTGGGAGTCAGAGAACTTTGTGTAATGACCAGATAGTAAATATTGCACAATTAATGGGTCATACATTCTCTGTTGTAACTTCTTTTTTCATTCTTTTTTTAAATTTAATTTTATTTTACACTATTCAGTTCTACATAATAGCCACAGATTCCCTTGTTCTCTCCCTTCCTGCCCCCCTCCCCTTCCCCCCAGCCCATCCCCCATTCCCACCTCCTCCGGATCAAGGTCTCCCCCAGGACTGGGATCGACCTGATAGACTCAGTCCAGGCAGGTCCAGTCCTCTCCTCCCAGATTGAGCCAAGCGTCCCTG